AATCTCCTAACAGAACTCCTGGCTTGATCCTTATTTGTCTACCAAGTGGGATCCCTCCTTTCCTCCTGTATTGTCCTGTTCTTACATCATTTTAGCTGAAGCAAGATGAGCCATTAGGGGTCTGTACTTCCGCTGTCAGAGACCAGCAAGGGCTAAGCTGAATCAAGTTCCTTGATCAGGAAGCAGGTCTGATAAAAGCAGCATCAGCTACAAAGCACCGACTTTATTGGGGATAATGGTTTCCTTTATTCTGCCCTAGGGATTGGCTTATTCTTAAATTGAGTTGGACGAAGTCTAATCTCACTTAGAAGCAAGAGAGAAAAGAAAGAATAATAAAAAATGTAAAAGCTCCAAGTAAATGATAAGAATTTCGCCAAATAATTTGGAGAAAAGAGTCAGACAATACTTGTGCGCACACCTGGCCATGGTAATAATAGGTTGCTTTTCTCACAGGAACACTTGAATACCCCCTACTCCAAACAATGGGCATTGGGAGTGGACAAGGCTGACTCATGTGACTTCGTGCTCCTGGGACAATGTTTCCTTCCCCGTCTGGCTGTTCTTCCCTTGCTGACCTAGCCGTAGCCCAACCCTGACCTTGATCACCCCAATGAAACCAGGGTTCAGGGAGATTTTACAGCACTCAGGTGCTGCATGGTTTTTAAACAGCCACAAAGTGTGACCCTACCATAAAGTCAAGAGTCCGAATCAAGCCTACTGGCCTTTATTTTTTAATGTGGGGTGGCGGAGACTCCAGGCAGTGGCATGACGTTTAGCTCCTTTGCTTGGTGCCTGGTGGAGGCGAGCACTCCCCAAATAATGGTTTCCCTCCCTCCTTCCTTTCACAGGGTCTTCTGAAGCTTCGTTCAGGGGTTAGTGGCTTATGGAGAATCCCAAGAGAGAAGCACTTGGTGTCGAGAAATGACCAGCAGCATTTGTTGGGATAACACTGAGTGTCTCTCCTGTGCCGGCTGATCTGTTAGGTGCTGAGACTACAGGGGTGAGTAAATGCCCCGCCCTCACGGAGTTTACAGCACAGTTGGGGGGACACATGGGGGACTGAGTGATCACATATACAAACGTAAAATCCCAACAATGACAGGCATTGTTAGTAGAGCTTCACTGCGCAAGAGGAAGCTATAAATACACTTGACTTGGTCAGAGAGGTCAGAGAAGGCATGAGCCCTCAGGGACATTCAAGTTGAGATCTAAAAAGTAAGTAGACCTGGCAGAAGGAGAGTGAAGAGGGCTAGGCAGAGGGAAGAGCAGGTGCAAAGGCCCTTTGACAGCAAGGAACAGGCTGGTGAGGCTGGAATAATGGCCAGTGGGATGAGCATGGGGTTTTGAGGGGGAGTGAGGTGTGCAGGTGAGTCTGGGAATGTGGGGGGGCCAGAGCAGGAAGGGCCTGGAGGCCACCCTGTCAGTGGTGAATCTTTGAAGGTTAGAGTAACATCGGCTCACGGTTAATCACACGTGGGCTTGGAAAATTTTACCGGTTGGTAACTGACTTAGAGCTAACAGAGAATCAAGTGCAAGGGTTTTATCAGAAACTGTGGGATGGCCAGTTCCGACCAGCGGCAGTTGACACTGGCTCACGCATACTTATCTCAGGAGCATTGAGACTGGCAGATGCCCAGCTTCTTGTCCCCCACCGCTGCTCGTGGCTGCGCCTCCGGGGGAAGGCAGGGTGGTGCCGCCCAGGATGTGAAGCCCCTGGAGGCAGGGAAGGGAGCACCGTCCTGGTCCTCCGTAAAGGCCACCTGTGACCTGGGATCTGCTCACCTCCGTGAAGAGCTCCATGAAAGGGAAGTGTACACGGAGAGTCTAAACTATCTCCAAGTCCATATTCTTTCCAGGTCAAAATATTTGTTGTTGCTGTTGTTGTCACTATTATTATTGTTTTCATCTCGAATTTGAAGTCACCAGAACACAAATCCCCCGACCTTCGGCCTGCTCCCCTCCCGTGGCTCCGACGGAGGGAGGCAGCCGACCATTCGTAGACTCACTGCGGCTTTCCAGGGGCTGGAGCTCAGAATCAAATGTGAGACCTGCTGACTCATGTCGCAGGGGTCCCAGCGTGAAGCTACTCTGGGATCAGCCTGGGATTTCATATTCACTCTCTGCAAGGACAGTGGCCACGTGGTAGTGGAGAGCAAAGGAGACAGCACTGAGGGGCCCTCAGAAAAGATCGAGGCTTGGAAGAAGGCCCTGAGCTCCTGGGGTAGGAGTGCCTTGAAGAAGTCCTGTCTGCCCCCGGGTGCTGGTGGGCTGGGCGGCCAGGAGGCCGGGGCCGCATTCAGAAGCTGCAGCTGGTGCCTTTGCTGTGGTTTCTTCCTTCACAGGTGGTCTGTGGTAATAGGGTTTTGGGGCAGGCCACCCCCTCTGTTCACACCTGATGGCTGGGGGCAGGAGGGGCTAACAGGAGGTCGTACCTGCCTCATTTACAGAGAGGCTGATCCAAGTGGGAATCCCCGGAGGATTCCTCATGTTTTTCCAAAAGACATGCCCATAACCCGTTCCCGTTTCAGCCTGCATTCTGCTGAAAGCCGGCTCTCTGCGCAGAGAGCTGTGGATTAGAAGCATTTCAAATTCCAAAATGCTGCCAAATACACTTAAGAGTCCTGCTCCATTACGGACGATCTGCCTAAAGAGAAGTAAAATATTGAACGAAGCGCCCCTCAAAAAAAAAACCCAAAAAACCCAGTAGGATTGATTGCTAGCCACACAAACCAACTTTTATTGAAGAATAACATACATACGGAAAAGTACACAATCCAAAGTGTGCAGCTCAGAGAATTTTCACAAACTGGACACACTCAGGTAACTAGCAACCAGATCGACACACGGAACACTCTAGAAGCTCCCCTTGTGCCCCTTCTGGTTCCCATCCTCCAGAGAGCAACTAATATTCCCCACTTGCAACAGCTTGGGTTAGCTTTGCTGAGCTTTGCACCTGACATAAATGGAATCATGTAGGATGAACATGCCCTATGTCGTAAGCCTCAAACAATGCTGTGGGGTTGAGCTATGGGATCGTTATTCCCACTGCCGCCCAGGATTTCACTGTGGGAATATACCAGAATTCGTTTATCCATTTGACGTGGGCATTGGAGCGCGTTCCGGCTTTGGGTTATCCTGAATAGCGCTTCTAGGAACATTCTAGTACTTTTGGTGAGCACATATACATATTTCTGTAAAGTACCAACCCAGGAATGGGGTTTTTAGATCATATGATATGTACATCCAACCCAGGCTATCTTACGGAATAAGAAATTTACTGGATGGAGCTTGGAGGCTCAGAGAATTGACAGAAAGCTAGAAAGAAAGAGACGTAGGAGGATGTGGTGGGGGCGGAGGGTGAGACAGCTAGCGGGGCCGAGGGCTGGAGCGGGAATGGTCTGCTCAGGGCTCTGCCGTCCCTGGACCTTGTTGGCTCTGGGCACAGAATCCCTGCAACCTGTCAGGCCTAGATGCCTCCCTGCTGGGCTACTGCTGCCCCTGGACCACCGTAGCTCCCATAAAACAAATCTCAGCGTCTTCTCATTTCTGTGTCACTTGCTCCGAGCTCATAGGTCCAGGCAAAGGAGTCCAAGCAGGGGGTCCACCCGAGACAAGGAAGACTTCCCCCCTTCAGCACCCACAGTGAAAGGGAGTCCTAGTGCATCTAGTGAGGGGTGATCTCCCCCTGTCGGAAGGGGGGTCAGATGCTGGACAGCCAGCTCGTGAACACAAAGTGACGACTGTCCACAGCAGGCGCAGCCCCTCTGGTTCGCCTCCCAGTGAGCGGCTAGTGGTGCGCGAGGGGGTCAGCCACCGGTTTGTGTACCTCGGAGCCCAAGTGCACGGTCTTGCCTTTAGGAAGGGGGCGTCGAGTTCAGGGACGCTTTAGAAGGGGCCAACCACAAAGGTAAGAGAGCATCTCCTGGAGGAAGGAAAGGGAGAGAAGAGGAAGAGAAAAAGCGAGCAACAGAGGGGAGGGACAGAAACAGTGAAAACAAAGGAGAGAAAGTCTGGAGGAAGGCGAGAAGCACAGTTTCTTCCTGACCTGATTTTGCCGGCTTCTGTGCTGTCCCACTTTCTCCGCTTCTCTGATGTGCTTTTATGAATTGTGCTTTGCTTTATCAGGTTAATGATGTTGACATGGACCACAGAAGAAAGAGCTCCTGGTCATCAACCGAGACAGGGAAGGGTTTGAAGTCTGATTATCACACGCCACATACAATTCTGCTCTCGTTAGAGCATATGGCTTCCTAACCTCACTGGTGACATCAGTGAGCTTTAATGAAATGAAGAATCACTTCCAACAAAAGAGGCAAAGCATAAAAATGTACTGAAGCCATTTGCAAGGTGGCAAGTTATTAATTGATCTGAAATTATATTTGGCTCTCCAACAGAACCACGGTGTCTTTGAAGTCATACATTCCCGCCAATGTTATGTTGGAGACTTTAGTAATTTGTTTTAAATGATAATCAGAGCTTTCATCTATGTAGCACCTCTCTGTGGCCTTCCAAAGAGAAAGGCGGGAGGAGTCATTACCATTATCCCCAATTAGCAGGTTAGAACATTCTGGGCACACAATAGCTTGCCTCACATCACATGGCCAGCTGCCATGAGAGCCAGCGAGTACAGTGGTTTCTACAAGAGAAGAGCGTGAACTTGGACAAAGAGCTCTCTGCCCCCATGGTTTATTCTCTTTCAACTTTGTTTTAGGCGGGGTCAGAAAAACCAGGAACTGTCCAGTCTCCCATGGGGGCATCCACATATCTGTCTATCATTTTCCATGAGCTACTTGGGCCCAATGTGCCTCCTTCTGGCAAAGATGGGGAGAGACGTGCGCTGCAGTTATTTATATTAGAGAGAGAGACAGAACAAGCAGGGGGCGGGGTGAGAGGCAGAGGAAGAGAGGGAGAATCTCAAGCAGACCCCCCTGCCGAGCACGGAGTCCAACACGGGGCTCGATCCCAGGACCCTGAGATCATGACCTGAGCCAAAATCAAGAGTTGGTGCTTAACCTGCTGAGCCATCCAGGCGCCCCGGTTGCCTCTCTTTAAAACAGACTACTCTTGTGGCATTTGTGGATTGCGAGAGGATTAAATAAGTGAATACAGTCAATGCTCGGATGGTTTAGAGGGAGCGGCTGCCCTGTGGCTCGCTCTGGGGCAGGGACCACTCTGGTGTCAGCCCACGGGCCCTGGGCTGCGCCCAGAGCAAGTCTCTATTAATGGAGCCATGTGAGAACTACGAGAAGTCAGAGTAAGAGGGGCAGGAAGACACGGCACGTGGAGGGGAAGACGATGCCCTCGGCGGGTGCAGCTCGAGCACACAGACAGACAGTGTCGCACGGACACTGAGGCTTGCTACAGCAGTACCCCAATATCGACATTTGTAGAAGGACCCCCTTCCAAAGTGGTCGGTGGTAATCAGTGAGAAGCAGGGACTTGTTCTCGGCGGGGTCTGGGCCCCACACACATCAGGAAAACCATCTGATGCTGTGGGTTATTTCCTTTCTCTTAGGATAATGGAAAAGCAGGAGAGAGAACTTCCAGATGAAAACTTTATCCACATAGCTCAGTGGGTCCAAATGCTCTAATTTGCTACTGAATTATTGGGAATGTGGGGCGGGGGGCGTTGTACAGTTTTTCTTTTCCATAAATTAAGCACTGGAATGTATGAACTTGATGTACTGAAAATGGGAATTGATGCTTTAAAAAGTTAAACCCTTAACCTCATACTTATTTTCACTTGGCACATGTGTTACTGGGCTATGAAAAGATCTATTTGCTTTGCCAGTGATGGAAATACCATGAGAATGAAAAGAAGGCATGAAATAGAACGCAACGAAGAAAACCAATGGAGAGAGGCAGGTCCCAGCCATCCTGGCTGGGGAGGGCAGGGGTGGGCTGGGACTCCCTAGAGCTAAGAGCATGCAGTCTCTACCAGGGAATTTAAGGACAGAAAAGGAGCCACGTCATAACCCATGGAGTCAGAGGATGGTACAAAAGAACTTCTTCTCTCGGAAGGGGTTTTCCGACGCAGGCACTGGGATGATGAGGGGGTCCTCACGTACGTGGGCTTCACAGTAGGCCAGGAGGTCCGCGGCTGCCTGGGAGACCTGCGGGGGACACAGCACAGGGGTTAAAAGCCAGTTCATGGTGGGTCTGGTGCAGAGGCGTCCATGTGGATATGGCCAAGGACAGGCGGGCGGTGTGCACCGCCAAGGACAAGGCCAGCCTAGAGAGAGGGTCTGTGCAAACCCAAGGAGACAGGGTTGGAAACATGCCTGGGTGGGAGGAGGTGTGGCCCGGGGGTGCAGGACCAACCTCCGGAGAGGAATGGGAAGGCCCAGACATCCTCATTCTACTGTCAGTTGAGTGATGAGTGGAGGCCCCGGGCCGTTAGCTTCACAACGACTCTGCTAAGCCATGTACAGATGAATAAAGTGGAGTGCTGGGCCTGGCCAAACCTGTGTGATTGTGTTTGTTATTGTTATTCGTTGTTTGATTGCAATCCACTCTCGTGACCAACACAGAGAGATACTTCATTTTTGCCAAGAGAGCACATATTATCAGTGTATTGTATGTATCACATACAGGAGCTACGTACTCTAAGCACACAACTTAACTCACAAAGGCCACGCCCTCCCCGCCACTCCATGTGCAGGGAATTGCTTGGGACCAGAAATCTCCTTCCCCTCCACTTTCCTTCCAGTCTCACCTGAAGCCTGCAGACACATGGTAGGGGTACACTGAGCTATCCCCGTTGTTCAAGCCCGGGGTTCTAGAGGAAGAGCTGGGTGGGAGCCGGCAAAGGGCCCAACCCCGCTCCCTAATAGGAAGATGAAGCTACCAGCTCCTTTCACCCTGCGTCTGGGTCACGTGCTTGGCAAATGAATGGCCTGTGCATTGATGCATCCGGCCAATTAGGTTGTCCTGCCTGCAAGGGCTTATTAGAGGTTACAGGCGGGGCTCAGTATCCAGCAGTCAAATGAGATCCTTTTGGGGCACTCAATGTCTAAATCCTTCCTAGAATGTTAAAAACATTCCACAAATGAATGAAAAAATGTCTTAGAATCCCCAGTGTATACAAGCCACACACATTCCCTCCAGGTTTTAAAGTCTGACCTACCTTCCAAAATTTTCCGGAAATTTTTCTTCTGATTTCCAGCCCAGACCTGATTTAGCAGTGGCTGGACTCCTACAAACAATTCTGGTAGAGATGTATAAGGAATTTACCCCCCAAATAAAGGAATTGACCCCCGCCCAGGGCAAGAACTCAGGGTCCTGGGATCAAGCCCTGTGTTGGGCTTTCTGGTCAATGGGGAGCCTGCCTCTCCTTCTCCCTCTGCCCCTCACCCCTGCTCATGTTTCCTCTCTCTCTTAAAAAAATCTTAAAAAAAAAAGGAAAGCTTTAATGTACCTCTGTTTACCTTTTAGCACGATCCAGCTCGCCCGAGGTTAGGTCGCTAAACTGTAATTAGAGCCTCCTTCCCCTGGATCATCACCCGTGTTCACAGGCTTAACACCCTTCACGGGGCGGGGGTGGGGATGGGGTGGGGATTGGAACAGTTCCGTTTCCTGAGACCGACCACAAGGGGGCGCCCTGCTGGGGGGCGGTGGAGGCTGCACCGTGGACCAGCATGTTAGTTAGACCGAGGCATTCGAGGAAGGAGCCCCAAAAATGTAGCTCTGGAGGTACCAACCTCCAGTTATAAAACAGACACGGGGATGAAAAGTATTGTGTAGGGAATACAGTCAAATAATACTTTAATAACACCCTATGGTGACAGACGGTAACTGCACTTATTGGGGGTATTTTGTAATGTACAGAATTGTGCAATCACTTTCACACTTGAAACGAATAGAACACTGTATGTCAGCTATAGTTCAATTTAAAAAATGAGGCTTTGTAGGACGGCTGGGTGAAGGAGAGATGGGGCTGGGCTGTTCCTGCCTCCCATCAGTGCTTCTGCTGCCCACGCAGCTAAGCTGTTCATGTCTGGCCCTGCTGGTTTTCAAGAGAGCTAATCTAGGGAATTTTCTGTCACCTCTAAAGGTGATATTGCACTTGGTTCCACAATTTTTCTTTCAGGGAAACAGGCTGTTCTTCGATTGCCTCCTTTTGCTGCCGGTTTTAGGACCACAGATGCACTTGCTGAGTGATAACTACAGTCCCCTGGATGGCGGAGTCCTGTCCGGGCACCTGCTCAACAGGAATGAGTACCTAATGGGGACTGTATTGGTGCCAAGTGATAAGAGCCCAATGTGAGACCAAATGGGCAGATCTGGTTTGGTTCCATGCAATATTTACATCCTGGATGCCCTCGTTTTGTTGAAACAACATTCTTAAGAGCGCACAAGTCATCCTACAATCAAAGAATCAAGGGAGGTTTCCAACTCAGCTATCAGCCCTCTCGTTTCACAGAGTGTACGATGTTCCTTTATTCCTGCATAAGCAGAGTATTTGGATAACCCCTGAAGTAGGTTGTTATGGGATCTGAAAGGATAAATATAAGTAATGAACATCTTAATGAGTCTTACGCATGAAAGGTGACATCTTGACACACAGCTTAAGATCCAGGCATTAATTAACCCAAACCTGCTTGTTAGGTTGTATGGAAGGGTTTTCTTAATCTGTCCTAGATTGATTTTTATAGTTGAAAGTTTCCTTCCATGCATATAAAACATGGGCTGCGGGCATTGCCAAATTGCAGGAAACATCTGCCGTCTTTGAAATAAAAAAACATGTGATTTGTTTTCAAAGAGAAAATTTTATTTGGGCTGGAAATTTAAAACTCCCTTACTGTTTACACTTTCTCCTCAAGCCTGAAGTCGGCTTTACCTAAAGACCTCTGCTGTAAAATGCCCAGAGTGTCTCTGCCTCTTCTCCTTAGTACTGAGCTATTACAAGACAACAGATGTTGAAAAGAATCGGCAGCCTGGGAGCAACTGTGGAATTTTACCATTGCATTTCAGAGTAAAAGAGGTGATTAAAACAGCCCAAGTTAGCACATAATCCTGTTAGTTGCACTATAATTACAAGATTCAATGATGGGAGAAAATGTTGCAATTACTATAGTCAAACTCCTGGACAAGACAGATAACATAATTACTATTCTGGCTGTGACTCCCACTGCATTTATCCTTTGCATCTCAAGCAGAGCAACTCACACCTATTCCTCAGCAAGCCCGGTCTATTTAACACTACTTGGAATCAATTTCAAGCATCTTTGATGGTTATGCCTGTTCCTCTCTCCACCCCAAGAAAACAGAGCAGAATTATTGTGGAGAGCCCAACCGGGTTCAGCCCTCCTGCCTCCCTGCCCTCCCCACCACCCCTGTCCTGTGGTGCAACACAGCATCTTTTACAAGGTCAAACGTGGTGCACACTTCCAACAGAAGAAGTCATCTGCTGGTTTTCCCCGGTAGAACCATCAGGACATTACAGGAATTATCCCTCACCTCTAAAGTCTGAGCAGGTGCCCCCAAGTGAATCCTTGTGATTTATTTCTTTCTTCAAATGTTGGGAAGTATTTGAGATTAACGCACCAGTTCCTAAGCACATGCTCAAGATACTTGCATATTATGACGCTGTAAACTGAACGTTTGTGTCTGCCCAACCCCAATCCAAACGAGGAAGCCTTAATCTCGACATATTTGGAGGTGGGGCCTTTGGAAGTTCATCATGTCACGAGGGTTGAACCTTGATGAATAGGACTAGTGCCTCTGTAAGAAGAGACATGAGAGAGACGCCTCTCCGCCCACCGTGTCAGGTCACAGCAAGGAGGGGGCCGTCTGTAAACCTGGAAGAAAGCTCCCACCAGAGCCTGACCGCACTGGCCCTGTGATCTTGAACTGCCCAGCTTGCAGAGCTGTGAGAAATGAATTTCTGTTATTTCAGCCACCAGGTCTACGGGACTCTGTTACAGGAGTATGAGTGGGCTAAGACACTTGGCTTCTAGTGGATCCCAGCAATGATTTTGCATTGATCTGGATAAATATAGGCAATTTTCAATCATTGGGTCCTAAGAGACAGATAGAGCCACCAGTTGGGAGTGTGTAAGGTTATCCCTGGAGGATATGGAGTGGGCGGGGCCTGGAAGATAGAAGTGAATACACGAATAACATAATGGAGAGTCCCTCACTGAATTCTAAAGGCAAGTCTTCATAACGGCGGATGAGCTATCATCACATACGTTTTCCCCCCTCACACACATGAGAAGATGACTGCACATTGAGAGGTAAATCCAAGACGCTTGGAGGAGAGTTAAATATCTCCAGGTTAACCTTAGAGTTGATATACATGTTCTTCATGGCCAGAAGAGGGAAGCCCTCACTGATTAAATGACCAGATCCACCATGAATCTCAACTTAACCAAACCCTTGCAATAGGTTGGCGCATATCCTATATGACTCTGACCACCTCTTAGTTTTGATAGATCCCAATTTTCCACAAAGTAATTCCTAATTCAACCATTTTGCAAGTTTACCGAAAAAGTAATTTATTTGGTGACAGGAAGCAGTGAGTCACTCAAGAGGTTTCTGGGACTTAAAGGTGGAAGATGGACATAACAGGGAGGTTCTGGGCTCCAGGGTTTCTAGAAAGCCACGGCATCTCTTAGAAAGAAAGCAATGGATTGTGAGTCAGGAAACACTGTCTCTGACCGAGCCGCGCTCAGCACTAACGAGCTGTGTCATTCTAGGCAAGACAAACACTCAGGCGCTCGGTTTCAGTCCTGTCAACGGGAGCAGCAGTAGCTACCGGTTTGTGACGAAGCAACATAATGGGCGCGATTACACATACAGCATGTTCGTATTTCATTATTCCTTTGGCCGCTTTCTGGGAGGGCGCTGAGAAACAGACAGGGGGAAGTTCCTCGGAAATTATTAGGGCAACTGGATGCCCACAGTGCCCCTAACCCAAATCCTCGCGAGTTACAAGTGTCCCTCGCCTTTCTCAAATGCACATTTTGTCTTCTTGTTCTCCTACTTCTGTTCTCCTCTTTGATTTAATTCAAAGATTTTTCTCCTTTGATCTGAGAGCTATTCTAGAATCGCTCATTCCTAGCCCCTGTCTTTGAATTTCTTTCTAAATCTGGCCGTAGATAGTTACCAT